CCCCAAAACCCCAAAACCCCAAAACCCCAAAACCCCAAATAGAATAACTTTATTGAATTAATATGAATAAAATGTGTTGATTTAGTTATTATTCATATTCAACATCGATTTTATGTATTCAGTCCATGAGAGTCAACGCATTAAAAGTCACTGAGGGTTTAATGTACCAGAAAAGGTAAAAACTAACAAATAATCTATATACAATAACTCCTCTCTGTTATTAGAGGTCTTTGGATTTTGAGAACCTCTTTGTACGAAAATAGCAAAATTAAGTATTGGGTAAATTAGATCTACTTTATAGTGAAGATATCTAGTTTTGAAATCTTGAAGTTTATCCAACTAGAAGGCTGAAATTTTGTATCAAAAAGACTAAAATATCTATATCGATACCTTTTATTGTAAAATGTGTTAAATAAAGCTGATCTTTTGAAATTAACTCCTGAGTAATTTTAGTCTCAGATTTATATCATTCATATGCAGTACTTAGAAAGTACATTCAAGATGCTAGAATCGAATCCTATGGTCTTGTCATCCACTTGGAGAGTATCCTCCTCCTTCTTTACAGTACTCTGAGATTTAGAGAAAGTGGAAGATACCTTAATCCTTCTCAATGCTTTACTTGAAGGTTCCTTTTTCTCATTTGAAGATTCCTGTAAACTTGAGGGGTCTAATTCCTCAATAATAATTCTCACTTTCTTAGTCGGAACAATTGCTGTGACTGTGTTCTTCAACTTATCAACTTTGCAAGGAACAGAAGTTTCGATCTGGTTTCCTTGAAGAATTATCTCACCTCTGTTGAGGACAACAAGGGTGCAACCCCTCTTGACGCCAAGACTACTGCTAAAATCTGTAATAATCCTCTTCCTCCCAGCTTCATCCTCATTAGGGTTGATTTTCTGACTGTCAGGATTTGAGAAAGACTCAGTGCCAACCCTGGCCACTTTCTCTATCTTAAATAGTTTCACTGAGGAATACTCTGAACTGCTTTCTTTCTGGTGGAGATTACTCCCACTAGAGGAGCTGGATTTAGGCACCTTCTTGCTGTTTTCCTTCAAGATTCTCTTATTTCTGACTCTTTTCCTCTTCCTTTTTACTAGAATTAGCAAGCTCATCACTTTGGAATGGCACACTTTGAGTATTCTGAAGTGCATTCTTAGGACTTGAGAGGTGCTTCACTTCAGGTAATTTCTTTAAGTTCTGAATTTTATGGGTACCAAGAGTCTGATTGACCCTTTCCCTATCAAACTTATAAACAAGAGAATCATCTCATAGATCCTTCTTGATGAATTCCATTGGGTTCTCTGTCTTAAACTCTTTCTTAATACGATCAAAATACTTTTGAAGATGAGACCTGATCTGCACGCTTGACCTGGAAGGAATCTATTTTAGTTGTTAATAAGCCATTAAAGGACGATACCATTTCCTCGAGTTTGTCCCAATCTTTACCATGTATCTTCAAGCCTGTAAAATAATGTTTAGGACTCACAATTCACAAAGATGCTGTGTTCTTCGCTCGACCAGCGGCCAACCACTTTCTTTTTTCTTTTCTGACCTGAGAAGAGCTATACATGAATATAATTCAGCAAGAAGATAATACAGTTGTGGCTACAATACAAGGCCACTTTGGGCTCCAAATTTAACCCTATTGTACTTACAGACATTTTGGTTTCTCCTTCCTTCTCCTCTAAGTAATGACTATGCCTATTTTTGTTATCTGTCATGCTATAGAAAGAGTCAGAGAGCTCATAAACGACTATAGGGGAATGAGAGCTCAAGGCTGCGTGTCTCACCTCTTTTAGAGACTGAGTGTCTCATTGAAAAGACCTTAGAAGCTTCTAAAAAGACTGATTGAAGCAAAACTTGTTAGAGGTATATACTGAGCTGTCTTTCAGTCACTATTCACTCAAGAGGTATTTGAATGGCTTAAAATGAATCTCTACATTACTTTTAAGTAGCATTTTGTTGTTCTTGACAACGTATGATAAAGAATACTCCTCCTAAGAAATAAAATTATTGTAAGAATCTTAAGTAGATTTCAAAAATACCATTTTTCTCATATTTTGGACACAAAAAGTTAATTTTCTCTCTAAATTTTCTGAACCTGCATGATTTCTAACAAATACTAATAATATCCCAATATGAGCTTGCAGAGATCTCACCAAGAGACTAACGAAGATGCTTTTGTCTACTCATAACGAGAGGACATATTCTTAAGAAATTCACTAACAGAGAAGCTCACTAGAATAAATCAGCTATATCCTAGCAATCTTAGTTAAAATATTTTTAACAAATCTGCCATTAAGCAATAGTATTAAAAGACTTCTACAAAATATATCCTAGACCCAAAAGATCGTAGCCTCTTGGTATTAAAGGCATCAGCAGAAGGCTGATGCCTTTCGTTGGTGCTCTTGATCAAGAGACTGCTATCAGCACCTTCATTAATGTCTTAAACAAAAAGGAATTGTATCTCTTTAACTTATTTGATGAATTTCCTAAATTTCCAAACCAAGCACAGACTGGCCCAAGAGCCAGTCTGTGTGTAAAATTCACACTTCGATCATTAGGATTTAAGATAAAAATTCTATAAATTATCAAAGATAGCCGCTCATAAAGAGCGAAGCAAATATTTTTCAGATAATTTTCTGAATAAAATATTATTAAGCCTAGTAAGTGACCCTGTCTAATTTGTGTAATATGTGATAATTTTCTGAAGCAAGTTACAGCATTCACTTAGATTATGCATCATTTTGAAAAAAATTAACTTTGCCTTAAACTACCCGAAGAATCAAAAATTTGAATAATATTCAAATCTTCTAATTTCGTATGGAAGGACTCTCTGAGACTTCCAGCTTATGAGAAAGCTTTTAGATATCTCTAAAAGCAGTAGAAGTACCAATGTATGCTTTAACAATCATTTTGGACATCGCTATCTGGCGATGTCAGAATAAATTAGATGGATGCTGATAGCATAATAAACAACTTATATTTTCAGAAGATGGCTGTGCTGTGCTAAATCTGTGAAAGAGTTTAGAATTAACTCCCAGAATTCGGCAAGGCTGAGTTCTGATCAAAGACTTATTCCAAAAATCTTAGTGACTTAAAGTAATCACCATTTTTTGAAAAGTATTTACTAAAAGTTAATGATCTCCAAATGTTGCTGTTATTACTGTGAGCACTTATAATAAATTGAATAAGAACTTTTGATTTATCCTTTCTTCACAGAAGCCATAAATTTATAAGAATACCACCTCTGAAATTTTCAATGAAAAATGGTTGGTACTTAAAGAAAATATGTTATGAATAGGAAGTCTAGTAAATCTGCGCCAAGCCTAAGTCTGCACTAAGTCAAGCACCAGATCTTCCTAATCACCCTGATAATGCTCTAAAATTATACCTTAGTGCTGGAGCAAGGATTCGGTTTCATTCACTCACTTCTGGAGGACTCCAGAGATGCTTTTCAAAAGCTAAAAGTTTGCTAAAAGTTGACCCAACTCCAAAATCTCACTCAAAGTACAAATTTGCCTAAATTTTATCAAAAATATGTGAAATAATCTCATATGGAGCTTTAGGAAATATTGGTAAGCACCTAATTTTTCAGAGGTAATTAATATTATTATCTCCATTACCTTTAAATAAGCCGCATGTAGGAACAAATCCCTTAGTAATTTTATATAAAAGAGGGAAATTAGTAAATAATCAGTCAGGCTCGAATTCTCAGAAAATATTAAGCTCTGGAATCCTGTAGGGAGGTTAAACCAGGCCTAAACCTCTCTCATCTGCCATAATTTAGAGTCTTACCTGAAATTATATAATCTTTCAAGAATTTTGAGAAAAAATGGGGTTTTGGGGTTTTGGGGTTTTGGGGTTTTGGGG